TTTTTTTTTTTTTTTTTTTTTTTTTTTTTTTTTTTAGGACTAGGGATTGAAATCAGGGCCTTCACATTGAGCTACATTCCCTGACCCTTTTTTTAATTTTTGAAACAGGCTCTGAATAACTTACTACATTTCCCAGGTGGGCCCAAACTTTTAATTCTCCTGTCTCAGTTTCCTAGAGTGCTGAGATTACAGGTGTGTGTCACCACACCTGGTGTGAAGGCATTTGAGGGGGGGCAAGGATAGGGATGCTGCTCACATTCTATGGGGCACAGGACACAAAGGACCACTCATTCCAGATATTGCCATTGCCACAGTGGGGAGTTGAGCTCTGCCCACCCTACACCCCTGCAGGCCCCACTGGCCCTTACCTAGCACTTCACGGGGCTCTTGTCCTGCTGCCTGCAGCATGTCCCTCAGGTGCTCTGACAGCTGCTGATCTAGCGGTGAGGTGCCAGGGACTGAGAAGGGTACAATGGTTCTTCCATACTCGCTCAAGCTCAGCCTCAGCATGGGGTCATCGAAGATCTCTGAGGAGTAGTTGATGGCCAAGAGGGCCAGGGTGATGCAGGTCAGAGGGACTAGAATCTGCGCTGCTACCATCTTCCATTCCCGCCAGCTGTATGTGGCTTTCTTCAAGAACATGGCCCAGAATTGTTGGCAGTGGAGAGCAAGCTATGGTAGAGAGGATACAGGAGACAAGGTTTGGGCTCGGAGCCACTGTCTGATCTTACTGGCCTGCAGCAGGTGTTCCCCCTACATGGTACTAGTGGGCCTCTGGCTGACATTTATACAGGCAGCCACAGCCAAAGTGTATGTCTTTCCAAGGTTCCACATGGGTTCAGAGGCAGGACACTTCTTTTTGCCCCTCACTGGAGACATCATAATGTCTGGGCCAGCTCATTCAGGAGCAGAAGACAAACCTCCCGTGCCACCCTGGACTACCCGCCCATGTTCCCACTCTCATCCCTTCTTGGCTCTCTCAAGATCAAAGCCAAAGGTGAACTGTTAACTTTGGCTCAGGCTTTGGTTTCCTGCGTGTAAAATGGCAACATCCCCTCCCCCTCAACAACCCCATGAACTTGCTGGAAATCCAGTTCAGAGTGAGGCACAGGGCAGGCTCCCCAGTAGGGCACTGTTGGCACACTAAGCAAACATTTCATATCTGAGTGCCCCAGTTAGAACACAGTAACACTCAGTAGCTTCACTGAAGTACTGTCTGTTTTCTTTCTCTCTGGCCACCCTCAGAATGTGCTATAATTTGCCCTTTGTCTTCTACCTACCCTTGTGGACACTCCCCTATGTCTGATCATGTCTCCTGACCTTCCCCTCCTCTGCCAAGGAGCCCCAGCCTAGGCCTCTGCTCACCCCAGTATTGAGCTGGACGATCGAATGCTCCTCTTCAATGAGGGCTCCAATGCCATCAGTGGGGTCCATCACGCCACACAGGTTGCTGTCCACAGCCCAATCACTTGCCCGCCTCTCATGCTGGTACTGCAGGGCAGGGAGCTGGATGGCTTGGATGTCCATGCTGGTGTCTACCAACTTACCAACCCTGTACCAGAATACAGGCTCAGTCAGAATCCAGCTCCCCAGCAGCAGGGAACGAACTTATCTTTTCCCAAGGAAAAAAATGGCAGAAAGGACTATCATCAGAGGCTCTGAGCCAAAACTGTCATTATTCATTAGCTTCTTCATTCATTCATCAGTATGAGTTTCTAGAATCCATAGGGCCAGCCAAATAGCTCAGCAGATTAAAACACCAGCTTAGGCATATGCAGGGGCCGGGAGTTCAATTCCCTGGCCTGCTGTGCTGGCCCTAACCCCAGGGTGCACTGAGATGGCAATTGAGACTGGGCATGGTGGCGCAAGCCTGTAATCCCAGCACTTGGGAGGCTGTAAACAAGAGGATCACACAAGTCTGATCTACACAGTGAGACTCTGTCCTAAATTAAAAAAAAAAAAACAAAAAAGAATCCATCCATTCATTCATCAAAAATATCTCTGAAGGACTGGGGAGATAGCTCAAGGGCATAAGCACCTGCCTGGCAAGCCCAAGGACCCAAGTTCAATCCCCATTACTGGAAAAAAAAAAAATCAGATTAACCTCAAGTTTGGGCCAGCCAAATAGCTCAGTGGATTAAAGTCCCTGCTTAGGCAGACATAGGGGTGGGGATTTGATCCCTGGGCCTGCCAGCTGGCCCCACCCCTGGGGCACAATGAGACAGCAATTGAGACTGGGCATGATGGCATGTACCTGTAATCCCAGCACTTGAGAGGCTGTAAGTAGGAGAATCACTACAATTTGATCTACCTAATGAGACCCTGTAGACCCTGTACTAAAAAAAAAAAAAAAAAAAAAAAATTCTGTGGAATATCATCTATACATATCCAGGCAAGGCCTATGGGAAAGAGATAACTAGCAGGGCTCTTCTCTGTATGGAACTTGTTCTCATAGGGATAGATAGGGGGTCAGAACTGGGGAGAGGAAGCTGGGGAGAAGATAGCTCAGTAGAATAAGTGCTTCCCTGGCAGCAAAAGGGCCTGAATTCAATCCCTAGTTCTGGAAAAAAAAAAAAAAAAAAAAAAAAAAAAAAAAAAACTGGGAGGGCTCATCACACAGCCAGTCGGATAATTCTGTTCTAGGGCAGGTGCAAAGCTAGGGTTTCCTGTGCCTGGTGCTTGTGGTTAGGCTATGCTGGGACCACACTGGAGACAGAGCCCTCTGATCTCAGCTGTCAGGATGCTCTGCATCAGTCCTTTTGTGGGTGCTATGCCCATCTGGCCATGTCCATGAACATAGGCCTTGGTCAATGTTCCAATGAGATCAGGTTGTCAGAAGCAGTGTCCCACCTGCTTGTCTCTCCCCTGGGTCTGTCTTGTGTATGTACAGATGGTTTCCCTAACTTGTCACTGAGTGGCCCAATGAAAGGACAAATGGGTGATGGAATGAGTAAGGAATAAATGAGTGGAGAAGTGAACAAATATACCAATAAACAAAACAAAGAAGCTAATGGTCTTCTATTTTAGTACTTCTTTTATTTATTTATTTTTTTGGTATTTTTAGGAAAGGGTCTACAAGGTTCACGGTCTCACTACTAGATTGGATTTATAGTGATTCTCCTGTTTATGGCCTCCCAAGAGCTGGGATTACTGGCATGCCACCACACCTAGTCTCAATTGCTGTCTCAGCTCACCCTGGGGGTGGAGCTGTCTTGGGGATGGGGCTGCCCTAGGGGCGGGACCAGCACACAGGTCAGAGGATCTAACTCCCGGCCCCTGAGCCTGCTTGCAGGTATTTTAATCCCCTGAGCTATTTGGCCAGCCCTATTTTAGTACTTCTAACAATAGGCATGAAAATGAGAATGGACACTTGTCATGAATGGAGTAACAAAAAATTATACATAGTTCCACATGATCCACAACTATGTACTGAACACATCTAGGAGGAATAAAAACAAATCCACACAAAATCTTATACAACACATCCACAGCAGCATGACTCATAATAGTCAAGCAGTCAAAAAACATGTTCCTTGGGGCCGGGGAGATGGCTCAGTAGAATAAGCGCTTGCCTGGCAAGTGCAAGGGTCTGAGTTCAAATTCCTGGTTCCTCAAAAAAAAAAAAAAGTTCCTTAACTGAAAAATTATTAAACAAAACATGGTTTATTGGGCCAGCCAGATAGCTCAGCGGACTAAAGCACCTGCTTAGGCAGAATGCAGCGGCTGGGGTTTGATCCCTGGCTTGTTGTGCTGGCCCGCCCCAAGAGGTTCACTGAGACAGTGACTGAGACTGGGTGTGGTGGTGCGTGCCTGTAATCCCAGCACTTGGTTGTCTGAAAACAGGAGGATCACTACAAGTCCAGTTTATGTAGTGAGACCCTTGTAGACCATGTACTAAATAAATTAAAAAACAAAAACAAAACGTGGTCTATCTACAGTGTTCTGCAGCCATAAAAAGGAATGCAGTTCTTATGTGCCATACTGTGGATGAATTCTGAAAACACCAGTCTGTGAAAGATCAGAAACAAAAATCGTATGTTGGTGTGATTCCACTTATATGAAATGTCCAGAATAGGTGAAGCCAAAGAGACAGAAGAGAGGTCTGTGGTTTCCAGGGCAAGAGGGAAAAAAGATGAAGAGTGACTGAAAATGGGTATGGACTTTTTTGGGGGGAGAGATAGCTAAAATCTTTTTGTGCTTTTTGTTTTTGTTTTTATCTATGTATTTTTAAGATGGATCTTGCTATGTAGTCCAGCTTACCTTGAATTCACTATGTAGCCCAGGCTGACCTTGAATTCATGGCAATCTTCCTGCCTCAGCCTCCCAAGTGCCAGGATTACAGCTGTGCACCACCACACCTAGCTATTTAAACTTGATTATAAGTTACTGTAAATACATGAGAAACTCTACATTGTACACATTAAAAAGGTGATTTTGAAATAAGATGATCACAGTAAGACCTGCCTAGGGCTGGGAAGATAGCTCAGTGGACTAAGTGCCTGCTTAGGCACACGCAGGGACCGGGATTTGACACCCGGCACCACAGGCTGTGCTAGCCCCACCCCAGGGCACACTAAGCTGGCCAGTGAATCTGGATGTGGCGGCGCATAACTGTAATCCCAGGAGGAGACTGAAAACAGAAGGATCACTACAAGTTCAAGCTGCATAGTGAGACCCTATAACAACCAAAAACATAAAAAAAAAAAGAAAAGAAAGACTTGCCTATAATCCTAGTATTATAGATGGTAAGGCAGGAAAATTGCAAATTCAAGCATAGCCTGGGTAACTGAGCAACTTAGTGAGATCCTGTCTTAAAATTAAGAGCTGGGGATGTAGCTCATTGCAAAGCTCCTAGGTTCAATTCCCAGTAAAACAACAAAGGTATGTTTTGTTTTGTTTTTTAATATTATATGGATTGTATTTAAATA